AGTGACGAGGGAGCATGGAGCCGGCTTCCCGGCCAATCAGGAAGCCGATCATCGTGTAGAACCCGGCTTCTCGATTACTCCCTCGTCACCTGGAGCTGGCTTTATGGCCAATCGGAAAACTGGGGCCGTGTAATGACGCGTTGCCCGGCTTCCTGATTGGTCGAGAGAATGGCCAATCAAGAAGTCAGGCAACGTGTCAGTACAATGGCGCCCGGCTTCCTGATTGGCTGGGAAGCCGGCTCCATGCTCCCTCATCATCAGGTGTCGAGGGATGAAAAAGCCGGCTTTCTGGCCAAACCGAAAGCCGGGGGGGGGGGGGGATGGCTGGGAAGCCGGGTCCATGCTCCCTCGTCACTTGTGACGAGGGAGCATGGAGCCGGCTTGCCGGCCAATCAGAAAGCCGGGGGGCGTGTAATGACTTGCTGCCTGGCTTCCTGATACCGGAATTATCGGGCTAGGCATTGGAGCATTTGGGCGCCCAAATACTCGGTATCGGCACCAATACTAGTGTCGGCATCGGTGCATCCCTAGCATGGAGTGGCTTTCTGGCCAATCAGGAAGTCAGGCAGTGTGTAATGACACGCTGCCCGGCTTCCTGATACCGGAAGTATCGGGCTAGGCATCGGAGTATTTGGGCTGGTACGAGTACTGGCCCAAATACTCGGCATCAATACCGATACTAGTATCGGTATCGGTGCATCCCTACACGAAACAACAACAATTTACAACTGAGAAGCAGCTGCGGAAACATTAGGTCTTGTACATTAGGAGTTCCGAAACACCTCAACCCAATGCAAACATTGACGCGCAATGCAGGCAGACAGCCTGCAAAATTTAGGGACCCGGTCACCTGTTACGTGCTTGCGCGCCCGCAGTCCACATAACTGAGTCCAGGATTCTGTTGTAACACCGACTCTGCCTGACGTCATTGCCAAGGACTACAAATCCCAGCAATGCATTGTACATCAATTCAGAATAATATGAAGCTACATACTCTGTGCTGCTCCAGGGTGCCGGCCTGATGTCCTCAGCGGAGGATCTCAGGTGGCTGTGCAGGTTTTATGGTGGGCTGTGCAGGTTCTATGGTGGGCTGTGCTGACTCTCAGGTGGCTTTGTGGGCTCTCAAGTGGCTGTGTGGGGTCTATGTTTGGCTTTGCGGGTTGTCAGGTGGGTGTGCGGGGTCTATGGCGGGCGGTGCAGACTCTCAGGTGGGCTGTGCGGGGTCTATGGTGGGCTCTATAAGTTCTCAGGTGGCTGTGCGGGGTCTATGGTGGGCTGTGTGGGGTCTATGGGTTCTCAGGTTGGCTGTGTGGGGTCTGTACAGACTCTTAGGTGGGCTGTGTGAGTTCTCAGGTGACTGTGCGAGGTCTCAGCTGGGCTGTGTGGGTTCTCAGGTGACTGTGCGAGGTCTCAGGTGGGCTGTGCGGGGTCTATGGTGGGCTCTCAGGTGACTGTGCGAGGTCTCAGGTGGGCTGTGCGGGGTCTATGGTGGGCTGTGTGGGGTCTATGATGGGCTGTGCGGGGTCTATGGTGAGCTGTGCAGGGTCTCAGGTGGCTGTGAGGGTTTTCAGGTGGCTGTGCAGGGTCTATGGTGGGCTGTCACCCTGAAGAGCGATGCAGATGTGTTAACGCGCCTCATAGAGAATAACGACGGGTCATCAATCACCGATAACACGAAACTGATGAGCCGTAAAAGCTTTGAAAGCGTCGCCTGTGGTCAAATTTGGGTGTGGTAGTTTTTTTGCGGACGCGCGCAATTTTAAGGCTTGACGTGTTTGGTGTCTATTTACCCTTGTTTCTTTGTTTCCCAGGTGTACGCGAGACGCTCCCTACGCACGGCGACGCTCCCGCTTTCTCTACGCACAGTGACGCTCCCGCTATTTCCTTTCGCCGCCATTTCCCAGAATGACCTCCAGCCCGGAAAAGAGACCGAGGACCAGTCCAAGCAACTTGTCGTTTCAGGACTCTTCCCCGAGTCCTCGCGGCAGGAGGAAATCTTTACGGAGATCGGTTGGAAAGAAACGCCGGAGGACGCTACCGCCGATCTACCGCAATGCCGCAGGTGAGTGACGTGCTGGAGAGCAACCGGTTTCATCAAATCCGTCCCCAAAATCTATTATTATTATCATACGGGATTTATATGGTGCCAACAGTGTGCGCAGCGCTGTACAATATAAGGAAGACATGACAATCACAATACAATACAATACAAGACAAGATGGTAAGGAGGGCCTGGCCCCTGGGGGCTTACAATCTGAAAGGGGAGGGGCCAGTGATACATGAGGAGGGAGCTGTGTGGGGGATGAATTGTGTGAGAACGTGATGGTTGAGTGGTTAGGTTGAGGTGGGATCGGCTTCCCTGAAGAGATGAGTCTGAAGGGATCGCCTAAAGGTAGTCAGAGTGGGAGACAGATGGACAGGTTGGGGTAGAGAGTTCCATAGGATGGGACAGGCAGAGGGGGGCGGGGGATGGAAGCCAAGAGAGAAGATGATTGGTCGCCATAGGCAACTGCTGCAGATTTTCTCTTCTCCAGTTTTGATAAATCCCCCTCCAGTGAGTGTGGTCTCCCGCTCGCGAGCGCGCAAGGGTTTCAAATCACCCCCGGCGTCAGCAGTGTGCCATTTTAATTACTATTGGCCAGACAGCGAGCGAGTAATATGGGTGTAACATTAAACATGATGTAAAATGTATGCTTAGCCTTTATTATTATTATTACATAGTATTTATAGAGCGCCAACAGTTTGCACAGCGCTTTACAATGTAAGGAAGACATTAAAATCACAATACAATAGAAGACAAGATGGTGAGGAGGGCCCTGCCCCTGAGGGCTTACAATCTAAAAGGGAGGGGCCAGTGATACATGAGGAGGGAGCTGTGTGGGGATGAATTGCCTGAGAACGTGATGGTTGGGTGGTTAGGTTGAGGTGGGATCGGACTTTTAAGGACATCAACTATTCAGACAGAGATGCCAACAAAGATGAATAACACAAATGAGACAATTCATCAAACTGTAGCAGTTGCCCGTAGTAACCAATCAGCTTTGGTCTTCAATTAGTGCAGTTATGCTTTGAGAATGAAAGGGAGAAGCTGATTGGTTGCCATGCACAGCTGCTCCAGTGTGGAAAAAAAAATTCCCCTCATTGGAGGGCATTTATAAAAACTGGAGCAGACAGAATCTGGAGCGGCCGCCCATAGCAACCAATCGGCTTCCATCCTCCGTTTGCTCATGCTTTGAAAGATGGAATGTGATTGGTTGCCATGGGCGGCCGCTCCAGATTCTGTCTGCTCCAGTTTTGATAAATTCCCCTCATCGACTTTGCTTGAGTAGAAGTATCGGGTAGAGCCCTCGGCCTATTCTACCGTGCGGGACGGCCGATGATGAAGATTCTGCTCCCTCTCGCATCTCTCCCAGTATTCGACGTGCGTTCTGTTCATTTTGTATGGGGTGCCAACACGTGAAATAAGTGCGCCGAGGTGCGCGTGCGTGGGGGATACCTTTAAATGTAAATGGCTCCGCAGCACTGCTGACCGTGTTTAACTTCAGCACACAGATGTGAAGCCGGCCTTGGAGCAAAGATCTTGTGCTGAGACCGATGATGAAGAATATTGCATGAGAGTATTTATTATACATCGGGGGTCCCTGGACTGCGTGATTTATAGGCGGGGCTTGAAAAATCCGCTCGTCTGATGAGAGGACGGTGGAGCCCGACGAGCAGCTTCCCGGTTGACAATTGTCGTTACACGGCCGGCCGCTTTACATTCAAGCGATCGGGCGTCTATGGAGGCGCTTGTATCAGCAGCTGTCACTGCCCTTGCCGGTCCCGAGATCCGCTGTGCCCGATGCGGCCGGGACCGGCGCGGCTCTGTGACAGGAGATCAAAGGGAGTTCAGTACACGATCTCCCTTCTGAACTCCTCTCAGTCCCCGAATGCAGGAAGTGATGCACATTACATCACTTCCTGCATTCAGTGTCACTCTCCAGCTACAGAAGCTGATGAAGCAGATCTGTGCTTCATCAGCTTCTCTGGGGGGTCCCTAGGTGACATTAGGGGTCTTGGAGACCCCTGATGTCTCCATAAAGAGGACCTGTCGTGTAAATTGGCTATCACATAGGAGGCTTCTTAGTGTCCCCCCCCCCATGTAATAGCAATAAAGTTGTGTGTTAAAAAAAGTAATACAAAAATTAAAGAAGCATAAAAAAATAAAACATTTTTTTTAAGCCCCCGCCCCCCACATACACGCGCAGATATGCGTCGGGTGCGCCTATGTGCGAAAACGACGATTGCGCCTATTGTGCCGCACATGTTACATATCGCCGCAAACGTCGCAGTGAGAGCAATAATTTTAGAGCCATTAATCACCGATGAGCAGTAAAAGCGATTTTAATCGTCGCCTATGGGCGTTTTTCGCGATTTTGCGGGTGCGCGCAATTTTAAGGCTTGACATGTTTGGTGTCTATTTACCCGACGTGACCCCGACTTTTATGGTTTACTAAAAATATGGGTAAGAATAAATGTTTTATAACATAACGTAGGGAAATTTTTTTTTTTTTACATTTAAGTTACTTTTTTCATTATATAAAAAAAAAAAAAACATTCCCACCCCCCCCAGTGGTGATTTATATACCTCCAAAAGAAAGCTCCATCTGTGCCCAAAAAATTTTAACATAAATTGCAAGGCGATAGTCCGGTCATGCTGACTGGTGAGACGCCATCAAATTTTTCAAGCCCTGTTTATAGGAATGGCAATAAAGGACTTCAGAGATCTTCTTTGTTTCACCCCTGACTAGCGTAAAGATGGCGGCACATTATCGAATATAATGGGGGGCAGATGATTGGTTGGTCTGATTCCTTTGTCTGTGTTTTTGTATTGATTATCACAGGTCTCAGTGACGCCATCAGCTTGTCCTTACCGGAAAACGATCGCCTCATGGAGCTCATACATGCCTGCTTCCAGGTGCAGTACATTGGGGTTCTTATTCAGTTTCCTGAATGGTGAATAGGAAATATCGCATTAAATGCTGGTCTATGGGAAGAGCATGGGAGTGACTTCATGCAAGGGCTGGGATTGAGCTGCTGTCAATCACTGGCCTGGTGGGAGGAGCAGGGGAGTGACTTCCTGCAAGGGCTGGATGGAGTGCTGTCAATCACTAGCCTGGTGGGAGGAGCAGGGGAGTGACTTCATGCAATGGCTCAGGATGTCGGCTAGGATGGAGCGGCTGTCAGTCACTGGCCTGGTGGGAGGAGCAGGGGAGTGACTTCATGCAAGGGCTGGGATTGAGCGGCTGTCAATCACTGGCCTGGTGGGAGGAGCAGGGGAGTGACTTCATGCAATGGCTCAGGATGTCGGCTAGGATGGAGCGGCTGTCTGTCACTGGCCTGGTGGGAGGAGCAGGGGAGTGACTTCATGCAATGGCTCAGGATGTCGGCTAGGATGGAGCGGCTGTCAGTCACTGGCCTGGTGGGAGGAGCAGGGGAGTGACTTCATGCAATGGCTCAGGATGTCGGCTAGGATGGAGCGGCTGTCAGTCACTGGCCTGGTGGGAGGAGCAGGGGAGTGACTTCATGCAATGGCTCAGGATGTCGGCTAGGATGGAGCGGCTGTCAGTCACTGGCCTGGTGGGAGGAGCAGGGGAGTGACTTCATGCAATGGCTCAGGATGTCGGCTAGGATGGAGCGGCTGTCAGTCACTGGCCTGGTGGGAGGAGCAGGGGAGTGACTTCATGCAATGGCTCAGGATGTCGGCTAGGATGGAGCGGCTGTCAGTCACTGGCCTGGTGGGAGGAGCAGGGGAGTGACTTCATGCAATGGCTCAGGATGTCGGCTAGGATGGAGCGGCTGTCAGTCACTGGCCTGGTGGGAGGAGCAGGGGAGTGACTTCATGCAATGGCTCAGGATGTCGGCTAGGATGGAGCGGCTGTCAGTCACTGGCCTGGTGGGAGGAGCAGGGGAGTGACTTCATGCAATGGCTCAGGATGTCGGCTGGGATGGAGCGGCTGTCTGTCACTGGCCTGGTGGGAGGAGCAGGGGAGTGCATAGAATATCTTCCTCCAGGAATGATTTCCACCATGATTGTATGATGTATGGTTGGAAAGGTTCAGTTGCCTTCACAGCGTTCAGATTGCCAACCTTGAGCGAACTCGGAGATAAAAACTAGGGCGGTGCCACGGGGCTCCTTTGTTTCTGGCCGGGTACCTGTATATGATATCCTTGTGTGTGACGGCTGCAATCTGTTATCATTTCTTTCCTTTATAGTATTCTGTACATAAGCTAGAAACCTCCTTGTCTGACACCGATGGATTCCACGCCAATTCTTTCAGTGCCGCTGGTAAGTTTTGATTTTTTTCCTTTCTGCATACACTTGGGGGTCCTAAGGGGATATATACAGTCATGGGCAAAAATATTGGCACCCCGGGATTTCTGTCGGATAACGCAGCACTTCGCGCATGAGATTGTCGCAATGGCAAATGTTTCGGCATTCTCGTGTTTATTTTCTTTTCTTTGTATCGGTGACACAAAAAAGTGGAGAAGAAAAAAGGCCAAACCCGACGCATTCCACGCAAAACTCCAACAATGGGCCGGACAAAATTATTGGCACCTTCTCCAAATTGCATTCCAGGTTTTCGTGGGAGAGCGCGGACAATCTCGCAGTTACAAGTCCATCTGCAGAGATCTTCCTGTTCCTGTGTGCGCAACATTGTCAGGAAGTTGTCCAGCCCTCGGCACCGGAGCCAATCTCCCCGGACGCGAAGGAAAGAGAACAATTCATCAAAGATTGCAGCGAAGGATAAAGACCTTCCCTCACCTTCCAGACACATTCAAGCCGACCTTCAGGCACCGGGTGCAATTGTGTCATCTCGCACTATGCAATAGCAAAAAGTTTCCCTGCACACTCACCAGCCGGCATGTAAATAAACTTGTCTCACCGCTAAGGTTAAAGGAGAACTGCGGGGTCAGGGCTTTTCCCCATTGTTCTCCGTAAGGTAACGGGAGGACACAAACTAGCGTCCTCCCGTCACCCTAAGCTCAGTATATAGGGATCTGCTGCTCACTGTATACTGAGACGCCGCAGCCGGAGCGGATCCCGACAATTATGTCTGGATCCATTTTGGGGGTTTGCTGCTTCATCCACTGGATGAAAGAAATAAACATGAGAATGCTGAAACATTTGTCATTGCAAAAATCTCCTGTGCGAAGTGGTGCATTATCTAAAAAAAAATGCAGGGGTGCCAATATTTTTGCCCCATGACTGTATATAAGCCACACCCCTTAAATAATCGAGCCACACCCAGATTTCTGCAGGAGGTATCCACCACTTTCAC